TGTTACGTTGATCATCTCTGTCATTTCTGAGTCATGTTCGATTTGATTGACTTTTTCCCCCCTTAGTTTTGAGTCACATTTTCTTCTTTGCAAATCTAGTGATTTATTTTTTTAAGTATGCTCGATATTGTCTCTGTTAAGTTGTTGAGTGCTGAATTTTGTTTTGGTAGGCAGCTGAGTTACTGGTGGATCAGCTTGTTTTTAATCTTTTTAAGGGCAGGTCTAGAGTGGACTTTACTCCAGGGCTAGTTTAGCCCTATTATATTAAGGTGTGATTTTTCTGGGATCCCTTGTGAATGTCCTGAGTATTTAATGAGGCCTTTCTAGTCAGGCTAGTTGGCACTGAAACTTATCCCAGCTCTGCGTGAACTCTTGGAATTGTTTAGCTTACAACTTTCTGGTAGTTGTTCTTTGTTTAGCCTTGCAGAGTTTCTTATGTTAACATATGCAGCTTAGTTTTCAGCCGAAGACTCAAGGGAACATCACGCAGATCTCTAGACCTCTTTCTCTGCATGGTTCTCTTCAGTACTCTGCCTTGCACATTCCACCTGCCTTAACTGCCCTGAGCTCTGATCGCCACTGCCTGAACACCGTGTGACTACTGTGTTCTCCTTAGGGTCTTCCTTCCTGCTCTGCCACCTGGACTGTGCCTTTAGGTAGTAAGCTTGGGCAGTCATGGGGCTCACTTAGGGGTCTCAGTTCTGGGCTGCTTTTTGACCAGCATCTGAAAATAGTTCCTTTCACATATTTTATCCAGATTTCTATTATGGTGAGAGGGCAAGTCCAGGACTGATTAGTCTATCATAGCCCCCTGCTAATATTAAGTATGGTAAAATAATTGTCTATGGCCAATTGAATAGTAACGTATTTTAAGACAACACCTTAAGATTTTAAAGTGGCGTACTAGAATTTTCTGTGATGATGAAAGTGTTCTATTCCTGTGTTGTCCAGTCAGTAGCCACTGGCTACATGTGCCTATTGTGTACTTGAAATGTGGCTAGTGCAACTGCAGAGCTGAATTTTTT